CGCACCTAGTTAATTGTTCATATCTGGTCCCAGAGTGAGGAATGAGCTGCTTACTACACTGGTGTGTTAGGTAAGCAAGTCCTTCCTCAGGCGATCTATATGAATATCACGACAGGAATAACGTTAACGGAGCTCAGGAAAATTTTTTTTTTATGAATTATCCAAATTTCAAATACCATTTCAATATTCCACCAATCTTCAAACTCTCACAATTCCTTTAAAATAACTATACTTCTATCTAACTTGGTATAGCAACAGCACCCTATTACGGACCAGAGTCCATCGCCCGAGCACGGAGCTGTGACGACAACGCCATCTGTGAGTCCGCTCCCGAAAACCCCACAACATGGACAACGCCATCTAGTGGTGACAGGATATGCCGGCAACAGATGCTGGATTCCTGTCCTAGTCGACTCGCGACGTAGCCGCTGCTGACCTCTGGTGAGGTAGTGCTTAGACAGTGAACGCCATCTATGGAGTGAAGAGGTGGACGTTTCTGTCTCAGCTTGTAAGTGATGTTTCCTGGTGGTCCCAGGTAGTGTCCCAGTATACTAATGACGTGTCTGGTTTCAGAGCTAACCTGGGACTGCTGTGTTGGACGATGGGGCAGTCTACCCAAGGCAGCCAAAGTCTCTTCACCAGTCTGCTGAAGAAGCTGTGAGCCACCCCTGGACGAACTCTGTCGAGAGTAATAGCCTGCCTGAGGAGTGGCAGTGTTGGGAATTGCCTTATCCGGGGTTGGCTGGTAGAGGAGACCACCCACTGGGGTGCTGTATGAGGAGAGTGACCAGCGAGTCACACGAGGCTCCTGGCTAGGGCACGCAACCCTAAGTATCGGTCGTGGAGTGGCCTACACAGTGTAGCTGATCGGTACCTGCTAGCTACAGGCTGGATTGTGGTTGAAGGCCTCCACGACGAAGCACCCACTGGGACTGTGATTTGGCTGGCCTGTGGCCAGGGTAGATTCGTCGTAGAGTTATCGTGGATGCATCGTGAACCACGGAAGCAGAGACTAAGGCTACCTAGAAGAAGCATCGCAGAGTGTTGAGCGTCTTCAGAGAGGGAGACCTCATTGTACATTATGTAGTTATAATTCCCTTTTATGACTTTAAATTACGGTGGTGGAAATATATATCGGAAAATTGAAATATTTGTATCCCTCCCTTTTTAGCTTTGACTTGCATTATGGAACACACCCCTTGAAAGCCTCTACTGACTTGGGGCCGGATACCCAAAACTCTACTACCATCAGAGAAGAACCCGGTTGCGTCCCAGTAGGGCCGTAACACACCCTGAGTACTATGAGCTTCTGTCTTCCGTGAGGGACCGTCAATAGGCTTTGCTGTAATCATGGTAAACAATGTTGCAAGCCTTCGAACTGCTCATTGATTTAAAATAAAATATAGCCAAAATGCTAGGATTTCTTTTGTTATGAAAAACTAAATGTGAATGCTTCTTTAAAGATGAGGATGATAAAGATGAGGTTAGTGAGCCTTTGTCTTGCATATTTCATTAAATCCTTAGTCGAGCACAGTACTGTAATTATTGAGGGTAGCCAATATGATGCTGATTTTTAAAAAGGAAGGTAGATCATGTGTTGAATTATTTATTGCTCAAGTTACTTAATGTCTATTGTAGGGAAATTGCTTGAATCTATAATTGCGAAAACCATGCATTTACATCTTTGAAAAATATAGATTAATAAAGGTTTAACAACATGGTTTTACTAACGGCCGCTTGTGTGTTACAAACGTGTTATCATCCTTTTGCAGCATATTTCATTCAGTTGAAAGTGGAAAGAATTATTACATTGCATATAGCATAGCTTTTGATACTGTGCTTCACAGAACAAGCTTTAGAAAGGTAGATGCCCTTGGCATGGAAGAAGTTATCTTGAGGAGGATTATGGCGTGGTGATTGTTCAGGAAACACATGGTCAACATAAATCAAATTAAGTCAGAGTTGGAAACCACTGCAAGCGGAGCTCCACAAGTCTGTGTCCTGGGACCTTTGTTCGTTGCCATATATAGAAATTATTAGACACAGGACGGACCAGCAACTTTAGCAAATTTGCAGATAGTACAAAATTAGCGTGGAAAATATATACAAAATAAGACCTAGAATTCCTACATGACGACTGACATAGGCTTTTAAAATAAGGCATTATGTACAAAAGGAAATCCCAATTAAGATATGGGTTATCTTGAGATGATTTCGGGGCTTTAGTGTCCCCGCGGCCCGGTCCTCGACCAGTCCTCCACCCCCAGGAAGCAGCCCGTGACAGCTGACTAACACCCAGGTACCTATTTTACTGCTAGGTAACAGGGGCATAGGGGTATATGAAAAAATCACTGGTAACTTATAGGGATGGTTCCAAAATCACCCTGATGTTCCATTTTACTTCACCCTGAGTATTTGACGAGAACGTTTGGTAGAGAACTCCATTACCTGTGCCAGAATGTATGCAAGTGCACAGTGAAAACGCATTTATCTTTTGTATGCAAACTTGGGTTGTTGCGAGCATGGTGTCCCTAGACTCGGAGTGGATCTAGGCGGATCCCAGGACATATAACATCAGGATGACGTGGCCCTTCGGTTAAAGCGAGCATCTGCAGTTACCCAGGACACGGGTTCGATCCCCGTCCTGCTCCAATGATTTTCTCAAGACATTATTTACTTTAAAATACAACGTGCTGGAGTACAGACCCAAACTAACAAACATTGTATAAATTAGACTTATGGGCTTACCTGAAGGTGATAAAAAAGCGTTACAGAGATACCAGTAATTTCCATGATGCAACAATATTTTCATATAACTTTAATTTAAATTTCTCCACACACTATATAGACTTCAGCATATAAGAACTTTATTTCAATAAGTTTTTCACTATATTAAGATGTCATCAAGCTGTGGTCACCAGCGCCATATTACTGACAGCCTCATCATTCCGGATGTGATATTGTTAATGTTTACCAGACGCACCTCATCATCAAAGCTTCATCGCTCTAAATTTTTAATTTATATTATTTTGTATTTTATTAACGTTTGCCAGATACGTTACAACCGCCAAAGAGAACCTTAGTTACACAAATGGATGATCCTTTATTTAGTAACATCACAAGTTAAGGCTAGGCTTAAGATTGCCTATAAAACTGTAAATGGCATTTTGAATCAAAAGTTTGTTAATTAAGGTTAATTTAGAAGCCGCAAAAGCGAATTTATTAACATAAAGGGTTACTGCTTTATTTATATAACCTTATTCGGGATACCCGGCGGTGTCCTGGTTGACATTGGCACCCCTCACCACATGTGTTTGTGTATTTTGTTATCTCTCTCGCTCTCTCGCTCTCTCTTTCTTCCTGAAACTCTCTCTGTTTTTGTCTGCTCACTGTCCGTCTTTGTCGTCTCTGTCTTCCTATGCAATAAAACTTGTCTGGAGAAAACAGCCATGATATCAACATTTCTTCAGATTTTTAAAGGATAGATTTTATGAGTAAAATTATTAAATTTTGACATGTTCAGCACTTCATATTTAATAATATTGTATAAAAATAATCAAAATCGAGCCAGAACAATCAAGTAAGAGTTGTCGGAAAATCCGACACCATTTAATAATATCATACAGGCAGATAATATTGCTGTGTTGTATAAACAAGTTAACCCATAGAAAATGTAATTTGTAGTGGAATTTCCGTCTATAGAAAACGGGATATCATTACCACATACAATTATAAATTCATCACCTATTATGGTGGGAATTATTCTTAAATACATTAGTCTTTGGACTTTACCATCATAAAAACATCTCATATAAATTAACTTAATTATCAGAATTAAAATAGAGTAAATGTGACCCTTCTATCACTTACTGTCATCTGGACAATGTAGGCCAGTAGCGTCAGTGAGGAGGGAGTGGTCAGCCATTGTTATTGTACTTAGACCACAGAGGCTCACGGGAGCAAATACGGCTCCTGTTAATTTTACTTGGACGAAGTGTTATGGAAACCCAAGGTGTACGATCATCAACACGCTGTCAACAAATACAAGTTAAGTGTTCTGCCGAAACCCATTTATCTATCATTTATGGCCATTAATGTCATTAGATAGGGGCGAGCCGGTTAGAATACGAACTGCCTCTTAATAAAAGGTAATTAAGCCTAGGTCTTTACGGTTTAATGTACAGTGTTTTCTCTGATATAGCTGTCATATATTAGGATTCTGGCTTTATAGCTAGCGCCCTTTTGACAGGTCAAGACGAGGAAGCATGCTTTGTGTACCAGTTACTGGGTGATGGAAGCTACCTCAAAGAGGATAATTCGGTGTCTACATCCTAGTTATATCTGGTGGACTAAGGCCTGCTGTACAATAAGATAAGGAACCTCTTCAATGTTTAACAACATATGTAGTTTAATACTGTAGTTTGATTGGCTGCATATATATAAATTCAATATAAACCCCCCCCCTAATGTGTAGAGGATCGATTTGTGAGATTATTGCAGAAATACAGTCCACTTAACATCATACAAATTGCTATCGAAGTATACAAATTAACGTAAATATAAATTCTATATAAATTCATATAAATTAAATAAATATAAATCTCACAGGTCGGTTCCCACAAGAGTCGTCATCTGGTTCGCGACAGCACAGTTTTACACAATCCCATTTCAGTAGTACCCACTCTGACCCATTCATGCTGGACATGTACCCAATAGCAGTCATTGTGCAAAATTGGGTGTTGCTAGTCCATAGCATCTGGTTTCGCATCTTGGACAAGCATTCTATTTCATATATATAGTTTAATGGGTTCTATACTAATAAAACTAAAATTTAACAATTTGTTTAGGGATAAGATGAAATAAGGTGAAAAAGCTCTAGACTAAGCAAAAAAAAAAAATGAGTGGTGTGGAGAGCTAGAATTGGGCTGAAAATCCAGCTGGACCTGAACTACACCAGTCAGTGACCTTTGGCAGTCGTCAAAACTAACTCAAGCACTAACCGGCGTCCACTTGTGTCAGGAGGCTGATGACCAACAGCACCGGTATAAACATTGTGACCTCGGATGGTGGTGGCCTCGGGTGGTGGTGGCCTCAGATGGTGGTGGCCTCAGATGGTGGTGGTCTCAGGATATAATTTCCAAGTGTTGACTTCAGCTGTGTGATGAGTCAGTAGTGTGACGGTGGCGTATGTTGCCGCGGTAATGGCTGGTTGTCTTATGGTGGGAAGAGGGAGCCTGTTTCCCTTATATTCTCCCCTGTGTTATATCATAACCGATGCCACCTGAAAAGTCAGCAGCTGAGGCTTCTCACTGGTGCCGACTACAATTTTCATAACTGTTATGAACATTTTTCCTTATCTGATATTGACTTTTTATTAGAGATAAAAACGAAAATCATCTGGCCTTCAAAGACCCTTGAGTGGAAGATGTGTGTCGTGTTATCTCTCACTCCCAGGCTCTTAGTCAAGCATTCCTGGAACATTCCAGGAATCATATCACCTGCCGATGATATGATATGGAAACGATGTCACCTGCCATAGATATCGATATCCCAACCTAATTTTGGCAATTACAATGTCACACTGTCTAGTGGATGTTTTATTTTGCTCGTTCATATAATTATCGGTTCTAAACATGTCATATGTCTTTATATTTGTGCTTTCTGACCTTTGTGTGTCAGTGACTGCTCTTTTTTTTTTTTTGAGATATATACAAGAGTTATTACATTCTTGTACACCCACTAGTACGCGTAGCGTTTCGGGCAGGTCCATGGAATACGATCCCCGCCGCGAAGAATCGTTTTTACAACCAAGTACACATTTTACTGTTGCGTTATACAGAGGCTACAGTTAAGGATTGACGCCCAGTAAATCCTCTCCGGCCAGGATACGAACCCATGACAAAGCGCTCGCGGAACGCCAGGCGAGTGTCTTACCACTACACCACGGAGACTGCTATTCTGTCTTCCTTAATTTCCTGAAATATTGCGGCTTTTACAGAAAAGATTGGAATACCCATATCCAATTAAATTTCATGCTTACCACATGCAGTTTTAGCTGCCTTGTCTGTCATCATGTTGGACAACACCTATGTGAGATGGTATCCATACAAATGAGATTGAAGCCCTTGCTCTTTGCATTAACAATGTTGTTTATAATGGATGTTACAATATTCCTATTATCTATTTTGCATGTTGGGTTTTTAAGGGCCTGAAGAGCTGACTTTGAATCACTGAAAATTACTCCTTTACTTCAGTGTGTTAGTGGCAAGTCGTAGTGCAGCTAATTCTGCATGTGTGGAGGTAAACCAGTTAGTTATTCAGTCTCACGCCTGTGGTCTGTGTACATATGTTGTCTTTGTATATTCTACAGGCTGCTGCAGTTGACATTTGAACAGACTTATTAGCGTAAGCATAGTTCTCGTGAGGTCATAAGTTATTTATAAAGGAATCAATGGTTTCAAGTGTTGCTGTTTTCAAAAGTGCTGAGGTTTCCTTGCTCCTGTTGCTGATGGCCGTGTAAGACACTTATATTTCAGGGTACAGATATAATGAAATATCAGATACAATAGGAATATTCAATTTAATGAGATTGGCAACACTTCTACTCAACCAGCTTGAATATTGGTTGCCCGCTGGTGCATTGGCAACACTTTCCCGTGAAACTTATTGGAAAACGAATTGGAATGAAATAAAAAATGAGGCGTAGGGCAGAGGGTGAGGGAGGTAGGTAGAAGGGAGGTGGGAGGAAGAAGGGAGGAGTAAGGAAGGAGTGGTCAGGGAAAAGGGAAAGTTTAGAATGAGAGGGAGAGACTAAGATCAAGGAGGAATTAGAAGAGTAGAAAAGTAAGAGTGCTAGAATAGTAGAAAGGTTAGGGGATGAGAGTGAACATAAAAGTGTAGCTGCTATCACCCATTCAAATTCAGTACAAACAAGACAAGGCAAGAAATGGAACTTGACTGTACTTTAAGCTTTTATCATATGTATCATGTATCAGCTGTATCTGCTGTAAGCATGTACTCATACTCTTTAAACCAGTAAGCTCAGAGTGCTCTACACTCTAGCGTGCAATATATCAGAAAATCTAAGATCTAGGGAACACAATTAAAAACGATTTAAACAACAAGTTTATTAATTATATTTTTAACATTAGATCATCATTCATGTGGATATAATTTCTAAATCATAACTTCGGATGGTAATTGACAACAATAATATACAGTATGAGTCACCACACAAGAATTTGAGAACATTACGGCCGACTGCCTCTGAAAATCATACAACATCTGAAAGTTGGAAACACACCAAATTTGTCACCTTAAAGTTAAACTCACCAAATTCTTTGAGTCTAAGTTGGATAGAGAGGGGAGTGGGGATGGCAGGCAGAGACCCACCCAGCCGATAGCCTGGTCTGGCTGTGGCCTCGCGACCAGCGAACTATCTCTCACTGCGGCTCAATCTTCAATCCACTCTGTGATGTGCTCTCGAGTGTACAGTTCCATGGGTATTTATGAGGAATCAGGAGCAGCTAGGCTCTGCCTACCAGTAAGATAGCCTCAGGCTCTCTACCTACCATGCCAATACAGCAGCTTGTTTGATGGAAAAACACCACCAACTGTCTGCAATTATCGGCTTAGCAGAAAGCCAGGTAAATTCACACGACCTAACCCCTGGTCAACTTGTGGTCATTAACTTCTATAGGTGTGACTTTTTAATTGTTAAAGACCAGACAATCTGGCACCTTTAAATATCCTGTCTGGCTGACTCATGTTATATGTAAAATAAAATATAACTAAACACCTTTATGGTGTTACACCCGTCTACAAACTAAGTAGTAAGAGTGATGTTGAATCTCTCATCACCCTTACACAGAAGGTAGTATTCAGCTGCCTAACTCTTTCACATATGTTTGGGAGTTTCATCTCCTCCCTCATGTTTATGATTCTTATGCATCTGGGAATTATCTCCAGGCATCTCCAAGAATTATCCTAATTGCTTCATTTTGAATTTTCTGTAAAGTTTTCAGCCTATTGCTAGGGAAACTAATAAGGTGCAATGCATGGTAGTCGACTAGTGAACTGATGATCATCATGTAGAACATTCTAGCATATTTGACATTAATGCCAATGTACTTTCCAGCAAGCGTTTTAGGAGGTATTGGCCTTTCTTTAGGCTTGAACTGTAGTTAACTTACAGTGTCACTATTAATATTCACACCGAGGTATTTGTACTGCCTGCAGTTTTCAATGTGATAATCACTGACTTTAAAAACAGGATGATTACTGATTTTTTGTAGGGCATAAGGTCCTAGTTTTATCTATGGAGACGAGAAGCCCACATTCAATACATTTATTTGCAGTATGTCAAGGAAAGTCTGCAGCCGGTTGTCACTGTTTACAATGACATAGCAGATGAGCATAGTCTACATAGTATAGTCTTCATAACAGATGACAGTTTCATCGACTTATTTAGGTATGTCAACTATTAGTCTATGCATCAGCACATTGAAGAGCATAGGACTGAGGACTCCTCCCTGAGGTGTGACTAATTCAAAGGAGGCATTATAACTACTCTTAACGCAGTCATCATATAGATGACTGCGGCAGTTCTGTTACTCAAATAATCCCTAATCCATTTCAACAAATCTTTCCTGACTTCACAAAAAGCTAGTTGCTCTTGGATGAGTTCCCTATTAGGTGTGTCAAAAGCAGCTTGGAGGTCAAGAAAGGCGACGTGAGTGTTTAGTTCCTGTCTGATGAAGTACTCAGTAAAACAAAATTGTGTACTTCTCCCAGGGAGAAAGCCCTGCACGTTAGAAGTGACTTGACTTTTGATTTGCAACATTAGCCTACTGAGAACAATCCTCTCAAGGACCTTGCACACGCAAGAAGTTTATATATCGGCCTAAATGTGTTCGAGTTTGGCTTAGGTACAGGAATTATGAGGCTTTGGGTCCAACAATCAGGTAGGACACCTTGGAGTAGACTTTGTCTGTGCAGTTCTAGCAGCGGACTGTTAGGTATGACGGCAAGAAGCCTCAGGGTATTATACGTTATGCCATCGTTTCCAAGGAGAAGTTGCTCTGTCCTTCTTAAGTGCAGTTTCAAGCTCAAATAGAGAAATGTCATAAGCATCATCTGGATCCCTTTCACTACAGGCAATTTCAATATTGTAACCCCGATCAACATTAGTACTAGCAAGATGTTGATGTATAATTTGGGGGCAGATTCGATATGCAAGCAGTGCTTGCATACTGTTCTAGCAGCATGTCAGCATAAGCTATTGGGGAGTGATGAGCAAGTTGAGGGGTATTAGGTTTGGAGATCTTTTTAACTTTGGCCCACATTTGGGTTGATGATGTTGCGTGATTGTTGCCCAGTAAGAATTGTTTCCAGTATTAACTACGTACACTTTCTTTCAGTTCCCTAAATGCGCGATAGTTTGAAGAAATGCACTGAGCGACTCAGTTGTTTTGTGAGCTCTGTAATGCTCAGCAACATGTAGTACATGATCATGTATGGACTTCAGACGTGAGTCACGGAACCACCGCTGTCCTTTAGTCTTAGTTCTTGGCCCTCATAGGGTTCACCCATATAACATAGTACTGTGTTACTTCATTAACAAGGTCCTCATATAAGCCATTGACATTAATAAATGCATATGACTGATACCAATCGAATATTTTGCGCTTGATGTGCATGTGTAGATTATCACGGATGTTAACTGTTGTCCTTTCATAATGTTGTGATTTAACATCTTTGATTATGTGTATGCTAAGTATGGCATGGTAATCACTAACTCTTGCACTAATGATCAGTGGACAACATTGTCTAAGAGACCGTGACCTATTATATAATCAAGCCTTCCACCTGAGAGATGGGGTGACATTAGGTGGGTTTAGATTAAATAGTCATATTGTTTTTCCCTGAGGTATTACACAAACACTGAATATATATTTCTGTTTGTTTTATCATCCCCTAACTTGTGTCTTGTGTTAAAGTCACCCATTATGATGGTTTCAGAGTTGCTATTGATTGAAGGAAGAGATGTCTCAATCATTCTGTCACATTTCACAACTTCTAAAAATAGGTGTCTTCACTCTTATGATTTTCAATATGTTTACAGACCAAACCACTTTTAGCATATGGCAGTATGCCTACATCATGAGATCCTGCGTGGAAAAAATATACGTTCCCTGGGAGTCTAGGTCGTGACTAGTGTAAGGTGTTAGATGTATATGGTTCTTGTAAACAAACTGCAACATTATTATTACCTACATACATAAGAC